TTCAAACGCTGGAAATTATGTTCATTCACAGCCCGTAATGAGTCACAAATAGTTTGTAAAGAGTCCAACAGAAGTCTGCCAAAGTCTTTCGGGATAAGGCCTGATAAGCACCCACCTTTATCTCCCTTGAAATGCTGCCAAAGACCTAATTGTCAATTAGTTTTGCAAGGCCAAACAGAGCACAGAGTCAAAACAGAGCTTCAGAGTTTAAACTTGAACAAAGGCAAGAACAGTTAAGACCAAAGGGGCAACTTGGGAGCAAGGCTTGGAGATGATTGGCCCCCTCCCATAGGGCATAAAGGAAGAGCAAAGGCACGTGAGCCTTTGCAGGAAGCAACTTTGTTCATGCTTTGTTCAAGTTTAAACTCTGAAGCTCTGTTTTGACTCTGTGCTCTGTGTGGCCTTGCCAAGCTAATTGCCAATTAGGTCTTTGGCAGCATTTCAAGGGAGATAAAGGTGGGTGCTTATCAGCCTTATCCCGAAGGACTGTGGCAGACTTCTGTTGGACCCTTTACAAACTATTTGTGACTCATTACGAACTGTGAATGAACATAATTCACAGCCGTTGTAATAAAAAGAGGGTTTTGGGGACTAAGCGTGTGCTTTTTACTGTCTCAGGAAGCCTAGGTTAGAACACACATACACAAACGCACATACACACACACATACATTTATCTATATTTCAAACCAATTCTAACTGACTGTAGCTTTTCTCACCTCAAAGATCATCCGTTGTAATCCGAAACAAAAGGTTGACCCAAATGGATTTGTGTTGTTCGGAGAGGACGACCTGCAGAAATGAAAATAGGAAGTTTATGTTTGCAGGCTGTATGAAAGCAAACCTCAGCTGAGAACGAAAAACCACCCTTGTAGGAATGCTGAATTTTCCAACACGCGGTGCTATTTCGCAATGTATACTTTACTGGCCTCGAAGTCATGTTATGAACTTCCCCAAAATGCAAAAGCTTCACATTCTTTGCTATGCTATGAATTATTCAGGAAGTCATAAATTCTGTCGTGAGGCACGTTATTCAACAAGCAAAATAATAGTGAAGGTGGATTTCCAAAAGTACAGGTAATTATAACCATTCCTTTAGTGATCATTTGGAGTTAAAGTGGCTTAGAATGCAGGCTAACTCTGCCAATTGCCAGCAGTTCGATCCTGACCGGCTCAAGGTTGACACAGCCTTCCATCTTTCCGAGGTGGGTAAAATGAGGACCAGGATTGTTGGGGGCAAATAGGCTGACTCTGTAAACCGCTTAGAGAGGACTGGAAAGCACTGTGAAGCGGCATGTAAAGTCTAAGGGCTATTGCTAGTGCTAGTTACGACTGTGGTGGGCAAGTTCTATTATAATCAGAATTGGATGACTACCTGCCCTTGAGGCTTCTCTCCATAACACCTGCCAACCAACAATGGTTGCAGAATGGTTGAAGAACAGTTGCAGGTATTAGGTATGGTTGGTCTAGCCCAGGGGTCGGCAAACTTAAAGCACTCAAAGAGCCATTTGGACCTGTTTCCCACAGAAAAGAAAACACCGGGAGCCACAAAGGTCCTAACCGGAAGCCCCCTGTTCAATTATGGAGCTGCCCGGAAGTTCAGTTCCCCCACCATAGAGTCTCCTCCTAGCGCGGTGTACTTTTTCCTCTCCCTGTCATAACCGAAAGCCCTATCAATTATGGAGACAACTGGAAAACCCTCCCCTTGCCATAGAGTCTTCTCCTGGTGCACTGTGCTTCTTTCCCCTCCCCCCCACCGGAAGCTCCTCTCAAAATTGTGGCGCCGGCCGGTGACGGAGCCTCAGCAGAGGGAGGAAAGAGCCACATGCGGCTCCAGAGCAGCATTTTGCTGACCTCTTGGCTAGTGTAAAGAAGGAAGATCATGCCTTCAGATGTTGTGG